CCAATAACCGCTCATTTTATCTGTCAAACTTTCATAGCGAATCAAAACAAACATTGCGTAGTACTAGAATTTTGACTAGAATGGGATGCGTTAATCGTTTGCTTGGGACCAATAAGCTAGTCAAGTAGTGAGTCAATTTCAAATCGTTAGTTTCGTATTGATTGTTGCTATTACTTTCCGTGTTGCTTTGATGGTCACGTTGCATTTGACGTCTTTACTAGTGTGGTTGTGGTTGTGTTTACATGAGCGTGCTTGAATTTTCCTCGAAGCTTTGAAAGTGGATAGTTTGCATAGGTTTGCATCATTAACTGAAGCCATCAATAAGTGCGTTGACATTGCAGCAATCGTTGTTTGCTACATCTATAAAGTCTTTAAAGCATGGGCATCTTGAGAAACAAATGATGAATGCGCTGTGTAGAACACAATAAGTTTTTTGATCGTGGACTTCGATGATTTCAAGAAAGGCTTTGGAAAAGTTAACATACACAGTAAGGATTTCTTCCGTACGGAGTTGTCCTTTATACTGTGTATTATATTCAACCAAATGCATCCACGGCAGTATATTGAGGACATTCTAACGACTAAATTTACGAGAGGACGATACGACAACGGATATTCTGAAATAGTCATCAATCACCTTATTTTGACTACAAAATATGGTGGCAGCTATCAACTTGATAGTACAGATATGCGTAGATCGGCAGTGAAGTGAATATCATGGAATACAGTTTGTTTGGCAATGGTTAATAGCGGTTCAGGAACATCTGTAGATTTTCGTTGATTGAGTTCAATGCATCAAATTTCTACTGCTTGATTGCCTTCTTCCTCTCTTCCATGGCCAAAATTTTCGCCTGCAGCTCCAGTTTGCGCTGCATGTGTTTCTTCTTATCCGCTTGCATAGATTCAAGACATTTAAATACCTGCGATTCCATGTTTTGATTTCCTGTCTCCGAATAACGTTGGCCTCTACTAAGTTGTCTTCCGGTTTCAGTAGCTGCTGTTGCTCGTGGACACAAACTTGTTGCTTGTATTACAGGAGGAACTGGTGCTGGATTGTCATTCGCCCCTCCTGCTGGTGGTGATGACGTTGCGGAGCATTTCGTTATGTCAGCTAGTCCAAAACGTGGTATTCCGCTACCACTAGCTTGAACGTTCTCGAACTCTTCTTCCAGGAATTTACAGTTGACGCTACCCTGGGCATCATCATTCAACTGAAAGAGTATAATAAAAATCACATTTAGTAAAAAAGCACAAAGAAAAATAATAACAAATATTGTCTTACCGGTTCATTGAAACCACCTTCTTGCGTTTTGCCGTCGCCGTCAAGAGTATCCTTCTGTATGACAGCATGAACCATCTTCTCAAGTTCTGAGAGAACGTCTCTTTTCTTTTTAAACAGTCCATTCTCCCCACTCTGGCGATTCTGAATAGTCAACCACATCGTTTTCGTTTTTTGCTTGAGTTCTCGCCACGAAAGCTCCCATTGCTCCGATGTCTTTGTAGCACCTCGAAGAGCATTCAAAGTGTTGTTCAAATTGTTCAATTTTAGTATTTGGAGCTGTTTCCCCCGAATGGATTGAAATCTGTTGTTTGCGAATTTCAAATTATCCGCCATGTAGTCCACCATGTACTGTTTTTGTTCCATCGACATGTATTTTTTAGGGCCTGCAATTAATGATTAATGCCGATGAATTGAATGGGTACAAACCCAATTGTTCACTTACATTGTTGTTTCTGCCATTCTCAATAATTTACTTTGCTTATTAGAGTTTTTCTTCGGTTTTTCACAGCTTATTTTCAGTCAAATTAGACTGCATTCGTTGAAGCACAACCGCTTGTTTACAAACGCAAACTTTGCTGGAATTACTTTACAAAGGGTCTTAATGACTGAGCGAATCCTTTTAAGGATTTTCTCGTTTTAGGTTTTCAGTGGATTTAAACAAATAGGGGAAATGGCTCTAATATTGGCCTATGGATCTAAAAAAATCTGCTTTTTTTTCAATTTTATATAGATGAACGCGTCATTGGGACGGTACTAATGGATATTTTTGGTCGCTTTTGAAAATTTAGTCGATTGCTGAATTTATGTATGGGCCAAAATTAGGGACTTTTAGGCCGACATTACATCCATTTCTCTATTGTTGTCAACTCAGATTGTAATGTTGTTTTCATAAATAGATTTTGACGTGGAACAAACTATTATTATTATTATTTAACTTTATTAGGGAGGCTTTCAGCCTTTGGCTGGTTCGCCTCCAACTGGAACAAACTAACTTAAACTAACTTAAAACAACTTTTTTTGCTGTCAGAAAAACAAATAACCTTCAATCTAGGTGAACTGACAGCTTCTAGAATTAGCTACATGGGCTTTCCTCAAGGTTCATGTTTAAGTCCTTTACTTTATAATTTCTATGTCGAAGATATTGGCAACTGCTTAGATAATCGATGCACGCTTAGACAGCTTGCAGACTATGCCGTGATTTCCCTGAGATGTCAAAGTGCGGAAATCTTGCAAATACCATTGCAAAATTCCTTACATAATCTGTCCTTCTGGGCCAGAAATGTGGGGATCGAGTATTCACCGCAAAAAAACTGAATTGGTAGTGTTTACAAGAAAGCGGTTTCCAGCCCAACTGCGTCCAACTCTTTTGGGCAGAGACATTACCCACTCTTTAACCTTCAAATATCTTGGAGTCTGGTTTGATTCTAAATGCACTTGGGGTACCCACATTACATATTTGAAACAAAAGTGTCAACAAAGGATGAACTTTCTAAGATCAATTTCCGGGACATGGTGGGGTGCTCGCGACTATTCTTTCAGTTCTTGAGTATGGCTCTATTTGCTTCCTCTCAGCAAGAAACAGCCACCTCATTAAATTGGAACGCATTCAATATCTTTGTTTACGTATTGCCCTTGGCTGAATGCATTCAACACACAATATGAGCCTAGCGGGAGTGAAACCCCTGCAGAATCGTTTCTGCAAGTTCTCATTAAGAATATTGATTAAATGTAGTTTCAGTAACAACCTTGTGATTGAAAACTTCGAAGAAATGCTCGAATTGAGCACCCAGTCTAGATTCGTGCGAATCTACCTTAATTAAATGTCATCGGATATTAGCGTTCTGTGCTATAACTCTCCTCGTGTACGCTTTACTAACTACAGTTCCCCCATTGACTATGATCTCTTCATTAATCAGGCTATTCAATGAGTTCCAGATCAACTTTGACCTATCTCAATTCCCCGCATTTTTACTGAAAAGTACCAACAAGTCAATTGCAATAGAAGATTTCCACTGATAGATCACGCATTGATGGGTCCACTGGCTTCGGCATCTTCAATGAATACTCAACCGCCTTTCGGAAACTTCAGGAACCTTGTTCCGTTTTTGTTACTGAGAATTGATAGTTCCGTTTAGAGTACGGCAATGTGAAAATAGCATAAGAGAGTAGAAAGCGAGCTAGACAACTTTTTTTTTTTTTTTCCTTTGGTTTGTTTTTTTCCGTCGATCTTGTTTTCCGTGCTGAGCACCAATGCTACCGACGTGCCAGGAAGGCAGCTCCCACACCTGGACCCTACCTATCGACCCATCAACTCATGAGCCGGGGACCAACGGCTTTACTTCCCATCCGAAGGAAGGCGTGATCAGAGATGTTATGCCTCAGAACATCCCGGCGGCGCCGACTGGGATTGGACCCAGGCCTGCTGGGGTGAGAGGTAATCACACTTACCACTACACCACCGGCGCCGTTGTAGACAACTTTTAGGAAGGTACAAATTAGTGTTATTATCTCTCTTTACCAAACTCCCCAAACTCCACCACTGGCAAAAAGAGATGATCACCAACCCGCTCATGTACTGACGATGTGTTTGAAACAGTTATACCGATTTTTAACCGCATCAACTTCGCATTGAGAATGATTTTCGACTTGCTCACAGACCATTACTTCATCTTCTCGGATAGTCTCAGTTCGATTGAGGAAATTGGGTCGATGAAACAAGGTAGGCACTTATCTTATTTCTTTTCAAAGGTAAGGGAGTAGATGAGTTTGCTGGTCGAAAGATCATATATGATCACCTTTGTATGGATCCCCAGTAGTACGTCCGAGTTCCCTTTTAAGTTGGCAAAACGATTAGAAAAATGAATTGGGCGGTTGTTACATTCCATTATTCCAAATGTTTTTCGAGAGCGTGGTTCAAAGATCTGGATGTAAGTCGGGACTTCATTAGCGTCATGTCAAGACTTATGTTCAACCTTTACTCACTAGACACACATCTCTACAGAATAAACCTCGTTGACAGCAATATATGTAGGTGTAGAACCGGTTATGATAGCATCGATCACGCAGTTTGGTATTGCCCGGGTAATGACGCCTCCAAAGCACAACTGTTGGATACCCTAGTGGCTCAAGGTAGGCTACCCTTCCGTGAAGTAAGAGATGTATTGGGAACCCGTGATCTTCCCTACATGCAGGCGATCTAAGAATTCCTTTGTTTGTCTGATGTTAGAGTTTGATGTGACGATCCCCTCCTTTCCAAACAATTTCCAGCCATTGTGTCCCAGTCTTATTATCCTCCTATTTCTGTGGTACTTGCCCCTGTCCAGCCAGTATTTGGTCAACCGTCTCAGAGTAGTATCTAAAGGAGGCTTTAGAAACCAGTTTCCTACCTAGCTCCTTCCAACCGAAATTGTAACCCATTAACCTCAAGCCTGCCACCCAATACTAACCTAGAACTACTGTTGTTTAAAATGTAAATTCAATCATTCCTGATTTCTGGCTCCGCAAAGTGGCACACATGACTGAGCCTAGTAAATATATGAACTAGTTAAAAAAAGACCGAACATCGATTTGACTTCTGGGCAAAAAGTTATTTTTTTTTTACTTAAGGCCATGTAGTCCGCGCATTCTAATCAGCTCTCTAATCCACATGCGCTTAAAAAAGCTCAACCATATGATTATGAATGGACTGTGATATAGATTCCACACCACTTTATTTTATTGTATATATTTTTCGTTTAATTTTTAGATCCTATTTACACGATAATTTTGCTAATCTAGGCCTAGTAACAATCTCGTCAGAGATTTTTTTCAGTTCTTCCAAAAACAAAGAAACTACTCGCTCAGATGCCACTTATAACACTAAATAAAAACAGATCCATTAGAGCTCACGATCACAATCGACTTAAGTCAATATTTACACAGAAATTGTACGTACGTCCGCATAGTTTGTAAGCTGTTGCATGTTTACTCATGCATTAAATCACTTTTACTGCCCTAGCGATTGTCTCCCTACATCCAATCACAATAACACCCTTCACACCATCCACAGCTTCAGAGGCAGCTTGTTGAACAGCTCATTCCACAGCCCGGTGAAGATATCCGCCAGCCCGTACTCGAGATCCTGCCGCAGCTCGGCAATCACTTCGATGGCATTCTGATTCAAGAACAGATTCAACGACGCACCCAGGACCTGGTTGCCTTGGAAGAGGTTGTCCAGATGAATGCGCATACCGCCAACCAGAAAGGTGACTTTCATCTCCTCGATAAAGATCGCGTCCTTAAAGGCAAGAAAAACGAAAATGAAATGCAGTTACATAAAAAGAACGAGTTTGCCAACTGCAAGGAGAGTGGCATTCTTGTCTGCAGCTATGTATATACCTCGGGCAAGGGACGCACGCTGAACTTGGTCACGACGGAGGTTTTGACGTCCTTCAGCACCATCGTTACGTCGCCGTCGCCTACCAGCGGCAGCAGAAGAACGTTCCCTTTCAGATTGTAGATGGCATCGATTTTCAGCTTAGGGATCTCCAGATCAAAACTGAGAGCGTGGCTCTTGAAGTCCAGACTGGCATGCTTGACGGTCGTATTCGATGGGCCCTTGATGTTGAGCTTCTTGAAGCCACCGCTGAGCGTCAGGGCCCCGGAACCACGCGAAACCTGGACGGATTCGATTCGCAACGGGTCGAACGATTGCACTCCGATTTCGGATATGCCTGGCCGAAGAAAGTAAGCGAATCGATTAGTAACGATCTTTGGTAATTATCGCGATACGTTTGCAAAACAGCTTGTTACAACACCCCAACCTGTAATCATTAATTACCTTTGGCAATGTATGGAAACGTTTCTTCGAACATCTTCTTGAAGCAGTTGTCTTCGTTGGGGTTGTCTCGCCGGCAGACTCGTAGCCAATCAGCTGCAACGGATTGGAAACAAAGAAAACAAATCAATCATTATTTTTCGCTCACACTTGTGCTGGCGTTTTGCTGTGTGTGTGAGTGTGTTTAACGACAGAAATTTTCATTTCACTTTTAGTGCAACCGGTAAGTGGTGGCTATGACCAGCCAGCATCCCACCACTGCAGCTATGTAGCCGTTCGTTGTGCTTGGTCAGTTGACCGGTAAACCGAATTACCTAGTTTGGTGGCTACTTACGCGGGGTGGTTTGCAAATCGATAAATATTTCGTTTACTATTAGTCTGCGTACTTTGTGGTTTGAAGAATCGTACGAAAAATTGTTGCACAATTGAGATTGGGCAATCATGGTAGGGAACAGTATCAGCATTGGATGGAGCGTTGCGGAAATTTAAGAGACAAGTGAGCATTATTACGTAAGATGATTAAGATTGCTCATGTATAAAATGCGTGGAATTGATGAGTTTTGATATGATGGACGTACGCAATGCTCGTAATGTTGGCCTATGTATTTGAAAATGGACTGATACAAATCTTTTGTGTTAAAAAAAAAACATCTCTATGACGATTATGAATGACATTTTCAGGTGTTAAAACTACCAGCTGAAACATGGACACAGCTGGGTGGCGTAGCCTGGGCAAATAGCAAAGTAAAGAGGTGCGACGGGAACACTGGCGCAGTAACCACAGTACAGTGATAGAGGAAATGCTTCACCAAACCCGAGCGTCTGTTTACCACGGAGATGCGGCTCAAAACAGCGTCTGTTCTCCATGTTAGGAGCAGCTGCTCACCGTCCTAGCGCCAACAAGCCGCCCTAGAAAAAATATCTTAGTTGCAAATACAGAAGAAAGAAATACGGATCGGAACAATCGGCACAGACCTTCGCGACGAAATAGGGACTACGATTGGAAGCTTGGAACATGGAACAGCAAATCACTCGGCTTCCCGGGTTGCGATAGGTTAATCTATGACGAACTTCAACCACGCAACTTCGAACTCACAGCACTGCAGGAACTTTGCTTTACGGGTCACAAGGTATGGAAAAGCGAGCATCGAGCGGCCACTGTCTACCAGAGCTGGCACCACCAAAGAGCTGGGAACCGGCTTTGTAGTGCTGTGTAAGATGCGCCAACGCGTGAGTGGTTGGCAGCCGATCAACGCGAGGATGTGCAAGCTGAAGATTAAGGACCGTTTCTTCAACTACAGCATCGTCAACGTGCATTGCCCGCACGCAGGGAGACCCGACGACGAGAAAAAAGCGTTTTATGCACAGCTGGAGCAGGTGTACGACGGCTGTTCGCAGCGGGAAGTCAAAATCGTCATCGGCGACATGAACGCTCAGGTTGGACGGGAGGCAATGTATAGACAGGCAATCGGGCCAAAGAGCCTGCATGCCGTATCGAACGACAATGGCCAACGATGCGTGAACTTTGCAGCCTCCCGTGGTATGGAAGACGGAAATACCTTTTCCCCCGCAAGGATATCCACAAAGCCACCAGGAGATCACCTAGCCAACACACAGAAAACCAAATCGATCACGTAGGGAAAATGACGGCTTCGGCATGACAGACTATTTTCGGCAACTCAAATTGAATTGCTAATTTCATTGGATTTTTTCACGAAAACACTCCCCTGAATGCATTCAAATGATTCTTTAGGCTTTCAGCTTTAATTTGATTATATTTTTACCACTGAGAAAAAGCAATCTAGCAGGGTTTTCTTGAAATGAAACACACGCACTACAAAATGCTGCTGATTTCAAGTTGCCGATAAAAGCACAGCTGTTTAACACGCAGCTCAAATCGAAATGTTGCCAAATAAAAAGATGTTGCCCACAATAGTCGCTCTCACCAGAGAAGTTTTGTGCTTTGTAAAAGCGTTTCAAAACAGTTTTTGACAATTATTTCGGCTGAAATTGTTAGAGCAGCTGACAGCAAAAGATTGTAAATAAACCAATACATGTGTGCGTTCCTGAGACAAAAAGGCTATAGAAAGATGGTCGCTGCTTAGGTTGCCGAGAATACGTAAATTCCCCTACTAATCGACGGGTTATTCTTCTCCGACATTATCAACTTCCACACGAACATAGATTCGGACCACTACCTAGTTCCAGTATGCATGCGCTCAAAACTCTCGACGGTGCATAACACCCGTCGAAGTCGAACGCCGGGACCCAACATTGAGCAATTACGGGACACTGGAGTTGCCCAGGATACGGCGCAACAGCTGGAAGCTGCAATACCCACAGCTACTCTTGAAGATGTCTGGAGGGACATTCGTTCCGCCATAGGTAGTACTGCCCCAACAAACAATTCAAAGTCACAAATAAGCATACACATTGAATAAATGCTGTACAACAGTGTACAATGCTGAATAAAACAGGATGTCGAATTATGTGCTTGAAAAAGGTCATTGAGATCGATAGATGCGTCTTTATTCCGCCGTTTACTCTGATATGATTAATTTCCTTATTAAAAGCTTTATAAACTTTGACTGTCTTCCTTATTCAGAACCAGAAGTTTGATCTAATAACAAACTGAATAAGTGTAATTTGCACATACATTGTCGCTTTTAATCGACTGTTTTCAATTGATTGAATAAAATGCTTTATTAAACGTCTTTCAAATGTTTTCTAGCTCCATTATTAGATTTCATTGCATTGCTTAACAATATTACTGTATAAAGGTGAATACACTCAGCAAAATAGCTCTTATACCACCCAACAAACAATTCAAAGTCACAAATAAGCATATATATTGAATAAATGCTGTATAACAGTGTACAATGCTGAATAAAAAGAGTTGTCTAATTATGTGCTGAAAAAGCTCATTGAGATCGATAGATGCACATTTATTCCACTGTTTGCTCTGATCTGATTAATTTACTTATTAAAAGCTGTAAATGTGTTAAATGTCTTCCCAATTCAACGCCAGAAGTTCGATCTAATAACAAACTGAATAAGTGTAATATGTACATACATTGACACTTTAATTCGACTGTTTTCAATTGGTTTAATAACATGCTTTATTAGAAGTCTAATAAATGTTCTCCAGCTCCTTTATAAGATTTCATTGCATTACTTTACAATATTGTTGAATAAAGGTGAATACAGTCAGCATAATAGGTCTTATACCACTATGCGTCCATGTTGTAATCACATGATTTGTAAATGCTTTATAAACGACGTATTAGATTCATTATTCGACAACACCGATTCAGTCTTACAACAAGGCGAAATCAGTAGAGTAGTAGTTACCGTTTCCGCTTTCCAATTAGAAGGTCATGAGTTCAATCCCAAGCTCAACCCTTTTTTTTAACTGTCGGATATAACAAAACTTAATTAATTTAAATAGTAATCATCGATCACATGACTCACGATAATGAATGCATTGACCTAGTTTAAAATATAATCGAGCATCCTTTCTTTCGACTTGGAGATGTGAAGAGGCAACTTTGTTCTTATTCAAAACAACGATGAATGAATTAATCATTCCCACAGGACCTTGAAGGAGCTAGAGTTGCGATCGGGAGTGCTGATAGGTATTTACTTTCATGTAAGCTTTTATAGATTATTGAGTTGCCCATATGATGAATTCTAGGATAGCTCAGATGACAAGGCAAGCGGCTGGTGATCGGAAGGTACATGGTTTGAATCCGATACCATACAACGACATGTATAAGTTTTTAATAAATTTTCTAATATCTGTGTGGTGCGAGCCACGTCAGAAATAATGAAATACAATACACTTAAGAAAAACACACCACACCCTTCCCTGTCCCCGTTCATCTTATTTTCGGGTTAATTTTCCCACAGTTGAATAATCGTTTAATAAATGTATAATAATGTCTAATTAAACGTTACTTCACATGAGAATCAAGCATATACAGAGCATCACTGTTTAAAAAGGAAGCAGTGATGTCTAATAAACGCTGAATAATCAAAAAAATTATCGTATGAACTCTGTTACAACTCATATAAGTCGAATAAAAGCTTCTAGACATACCTTATACAATAACAAAGTAGTTCAATGTTGTGGTTGAATAAATTCTCCAGATTTGTGTTAACAAAGCCGGAACAGAAGTTGTTATTAAAAATAGTACAAGTACTATTCAGCATGCAGTTGAATAAAATGGCTATGAAGTCGTTTCTTCAATAGACGATTGTTTGTTGGGTTTTGATGTCTTCTAAAATGTTTCTTCAATTTTTAAATACTTTATTGCAGTGTTGAATGCTTAATATACTAAGATAAAAAATAACTTTTTTATGTTTCGTTGAAATTGATGATCATCGATGGAAACATTGTAGATGAAGTCATTTTAAGGAACTTTGTTGAAGACGTCAATTTTCTATCTCTCAAGTGGACGAAGTTATAGAGTGAAAATGGAATACTAACGCTGGTTCCCCTTTATAAAACTTTTTTACCATAACTGTTTAGTTTGAATTTATTTCAATGTTGTACAAAGCTGTAAGTGCTCTTTGTTTTCTGTGTACTGCGCAACTTATATTATGAATTTTTGAAAAAAAGTAATTTTTGAAAAAAAAAACGATTTTTTGAACCACCCTAACATGGACATGTTTACCTTAATGACAACAAACGGGTCTACACTCAAAATAATCTACACTTTGAAGCTACGTGAAAAATTACGTAAGTTCTCACTTTTTCCTCTCCTCTCATTTTTACATGGCTCACGTAGAATATACGTGATGTCCCTTGATTTTCACAGGGAGTTCCTGTTTAACACACCCACATAATCAATGAAATGTACGTGATTTTCATATAACACTGAGTCTATGTGCGTTTCACGTAAAGCTTATGAGATGTCCACATGTAAACAAAAGAGTGGTACGTACACTCAGAGCGGTGCAAATCAGGACAGCAGAGTAATGGGCTTTTGTTCGGTATTTTTTAAAGAAAGTGGCAAGATGTAAGTATAACATTATTTGACAAAAACAAACTGACTGTTTCATCGTACTCAATAGAATTATGTCAAGCTGTCCAG